GCCCAAAAAATCATGCCCCACGCCAATAATTTTGCTTGTTGAAGCCTAAATATTTGGCCCAAATACAAATTCCAGTAACCTTTGAAGGCCCTAAGTTTCAGCCTCTTTAAATGGCAAGAAATTAATCCATTTCATTACCCAAAATTTTATCATAGAAAACCTACGATGTCTCCACTTCACGGCCGACATTTCAACATCTCATAGCCCATTAATAACATCTATTAAGGCCTCAATGCAAAAATTTCCTAGGCCCAAACACATTTTTGTACATTTATTTTTTAAAGATTTTTTCACAAATATTTTTATTTTTTAAATGAATCTAAATTAAGTAGACTGAAAAAGTAATTGTTTATTAAATTATTAGAAATTATAATAAATAATTAAGAATTTATAATTGATTGTGATGCAATTGAGTTAATGTTAGAAATTAAAAACTATGTATATGAGAGGGAAAAAAATAAACAAAAAATGCATAGGATTTAAAGGTATGTTATTTCACATATGTAACTTATGAAATTAATAGTTGCACTTTAGTCTAAATTGATGTTAGAATTTTTTGACTATATTTGAACCAGAGTCTAACTTTGACCTAAAACTTGAAAGAGTGAATATTCATTGACTAAAAAAATACTTTAATAGTAGAAAGTTATAAATAAACTTTCAAATTTTTAATTCCTGTGACGCCCCAAATTTTTTTTTTAAATCTCAAGGGAAATTATATAGAGGTGACTGAGAGGTCCGATTGAGAGATGAAACATTTGTACTACATAATGTGAGAGGCTACCTAAGAGACCCACCTCCGATACCACGTTAAAATAATTGTACGAAGAGAGAAAACTATATTATATTGAATAATTGTATAATATTGTATTTAATTATTACAAGAGGTAGCCTATATATAATAGGGGTGGATATTGACCCGTTGGCTCGCTTAGTCCGCCCAGTCCAACCTTATTTTTTTAGGATTTGGAAGGGTTGTTTGAGCCCATAAGGTCAGGTTGCGCTAACATTGTTAGCCCGATATATTAATGGGCCAGGCTTGGGCAAGTATAGAGGTCCTAGGTTAGGGCCACGCCTGGCTTGGACAAACACATAATCTCTTATTATGTAGTGTCGGCCTGGCCCGAACCCGGCTTGGTCTGACAAATATCTACCCCTAATATATAGGACTTATATGGAGTGTTAATCAAGAAATCATGAGAGGAAGGAAACTTATAAAATGCATAAAAGACCTAATAAAAAATATATTCTAGATATGTTTTAACAAAAACAATAAACGCTGCTTACTTTTCAATTATTGAGTTGTATTGAAATATCATAAGCTATATATTGTTGGTCTAAGATTTTTTTTAAAATTTAATACTTTACAATTTTCAACAAATCATATATAAAATTAGCAAGTTAGTGTTGATTGTTTTCTTATACAAATACGTCTATTACACAATTTGATAGCATGAATGTTAAACATGTTGAGTTATTGTTGAATTTGTAAAACATGAATTGACATAAGTAACCTATTTATTGAAAAACTAGTTTTACATCTTAATATTATTCCTACTAAGAGGTATTATAACATTTTTATTTTTTATTTTATCTCTTATATAACTCCATCCAACTTATTAAAATTATCGAAAGTAGAAACCAAACTTTTAGGGTAATTAACATATAAGGGTTTTAGTCTTCAAACTTTTTCGTCTTAAAAAATGAAATCGTGTGAGTGGTCACCAAATGACCACCTGAGAAAAGTTTTTTTTTTTTTTTAAAAAAAATTAGAGATAAATTTTTGAAAATGTAGTTAATAAATATATTTTTAGAGACAATATAGTTTCATGTCAAAATATTTACTTTTTGAGACAAAATTTAATCCTAAAAAGATAATAATTTATTATTAAATGTTAAATTTTGTTGCTAAAAATATAATATTAACATGTTTGATGATTAAAATATTTCATCTCTAAAATTTTTTTATGGTCTCTAAAAATTTATCTCTAAAATGTTTATTTGTTGAATATGACTAATCAAAATAGAACCCACGAGGCCCAAAAAATCATGCCCCACGCCAATAATTTTGCTTGTTGAAGTCTAAATATTTGGCCCAAATACAAATTCCAGTAACCTTTGAAGGCCCTAAGTTTCAGCCTCTTTAAATGGCAAGAAATTAATCCATTTCATTACCCAAAATTTTATCATAGAAAACCTACGATGTCTCCACTTCAGGGCCAACATTTCAACATCTCATAGCCCATTAATAACACCTATTAAGGCCTCAATGCAAAAATTTACTAGGCCCAAACACACACAAAAAAAAAAAAAAGAGTATACATTTTTGTACATTTATTTTTTAAAGATTTTTTCACAAATATTTTATTTTTTAAATGAATCTAAATTAAGTAGACTGAAAAAGTAATTGTTTATTAAATTATTAGAAATTATAATAAATAATTAAGAATTTATAATTAATTGTGATGCAATTGAGTTAATGTTAGAAATTAAAAACTATGTATATGAGAGGGAAAAAAATAAACAAAAAATGCATTGGATTTAAAGGTATGTTATTTCACATATGTAACTTATGAAATTAATAGTTACACTTTAGTCTAAATTGATGTTAGAATTTTTTGACTATATTTGAACCAGAGTCTAACTTTGACCTAAAACTTGAAAGAGTGAATATTCATCGACTAAAAAAATACTTTAATAGTAGAAAGTTATAAATAAATTTTCAAATTTTTAATTCCGATAATAAAAATAAATTTTAAGAGAATGGGTCAGATTTGGCCCTTCTGTCCGAGCATATATATATATATATATCTATCTAAATGTCTCAGTTTAATTTTAAACTACATTTATAGCTGGAAAATCACAAATCAAATCGTGAAGTATATGTCTTTTTTGACAACACAGTTAAAAGTCAACTTTTTGATTTTTTAATTTTTCTTTAATCATATCACCTTTATACTTTTTTACATATTTAAAAAAAAAATCCAAAAAAAGTTAAAAATAAACTTTTAACCTACTTGTGAAAATAGGTCATAATTTGTTTATTTTAAAAATTAGAACCGAACCGTACATTAAAAAAATAAATCCAAAACCATTTGATTTGGTCACAATCGGACCAATTTGCTATTTTTGATTTTTTTTTTCTCAACTCTAACTGGGAGTGATATTTTTCCTTTAAGGTCTCGTTTGAAAACAAATTATTTTAGTAATTTTTTGACTTTTTAAAAAAAGATGTGCAAAAAAATAAAAAGAGTGATATGATAACGTATAATAATTTTTTAATTAAAATATATAATTGTCAAACGAGACTTTAGTGTAAATTTTGACCGTGAACCAAACAAAAAAAAAAAAACCCTAACCCACTGTTTACCCGATCCAAACCTTGACGGGTCAAGACAACACAATCTGACCCGACCCACCTAAAACCCTAATTACAAAAAGTAGAATCCACAAAAATTGAGGTTGCGTTTGGTAGAGTTTTGTAAATATGATTTGAGAGCATGAGTTGTATTTTGAGTTTGTAAGTTGTGGAGTTATGATTTGAGTGTAGAAAATTTGTTTGGTTATGATTTTTGAATAGAGTGTTAAATTGAGTTTTGAATTGAGTGTGGAATTGAGTTTTGAAAATTTGATTTGACATGTGAAGTAAGAAAATTTGTTTGGTTATGAGTTTTAGAAAGAGTTTTCAAAACTTAATTCAAATTGTTATAACTCATAACAAAACACACTACTTTTACACTATTGAAAATTCTGATCAACACTCATAACCAAACTCTTTTTAAAATTCAATTAAAAAAATTATTATTAATAGAAAATAACATTAATCAAATTTTAAATTGAAAATACTACAAAGGAAATAATTTTTTCTCAAAATAATTATTCAAAAAATTTAAATCATAAATATTTAAATAAATTAAATAATCTAAAAAATTTAATAAGTAAAAAATTAAAATAAAATATTTAAAATAAAAATTAAATCGTAATTTAAAATTTTAAATAAAAATAAAATAATTTAAATAAGTTAAAATTTTGATATTTTGAATTTAAAAACAATTATACACTCAAATCGTAACCAAACACATAAAATAAAACTCAATTAAAAAATTATTTTTAAAACTCATAACTAACCGCATAACTCGAAACTTCATATTACTTTCATAAATCTACACTCAAATCATAACTAAATACATAACAAAAAAAATTAAAATATTTAAAAATATTTTTATAAAATAGAGTTTGAATTTATTTTTATAAAATATTTTAAAATTTTAAAAATTAAAATCGTAATATTTTGAAATTAAAATATTTTAAAATATTCAAAAAATTAAAAAAATCGTAACATATTTAAATATTAAAATATTTTAAAAATTAAAATATTGCTTTAAATTGTGTTTTGAAAAGAGTTTTGAATTATGTGTTTAGTTATGAGTTTTGAAAAGTAACAATTATACTTTGAATTGAGTTTTGAGAAATGAGTGTAAAATTATTATTTGAAAACTCAAAATAAACAACACACTCAAATCAATGTGTAAAATTATAATTTGAGAGGCTTATCAAACGGATATTTATTCTGCGCTCTCACATATTGCCACCACTACAACAAGTGTATATGCATGCATATATACATACATACATACACATACTATCGTCATTTTTATATTATTTTCTCTTTCTTTCTTTTTTTATTTTTTTATTATTACAAAAATTTAATATTTTTCTATAATAGAAAGAGGTGAGAAGGCGCAAGCTTTTTTGTTTTCATATCTCTCTTCCCAATAGAAGGCGCAAGCTTTTTTGTTTTCATATCTCTCTTCCCAATTCAATCTGTTCTTCAATAAAAACGCACAAAAATACAATAATTGTTACCTAGATATATAAATAATTATTGTAATTTATTTTATTTCATTCTCTGCCCTGTTGCTCCTTGGACCTCAAATCTCTATCTCTCCTCTTTCTCCTCTCTCTCTATCTAGACCTCAATTAGAGCTTTTTTATTTCATTCTCTGCCCTGTTGCTCCTTGGACCTCAAATCTCTATCTCTCCTCTTTCTCCTCTCTCTCTCTCTCTCTCTCTCTCTAGACCTCAATTAGAGCTTCATCTCACCATTTGCGAAGCTCCGTTTCGTTCTTTTCAGGTTTGTTTTCTCATTCGATCTATGCATCTTTACTGCTTGTGGTTTGACATTTGTGAATTGTTTCTTTGTATTCGCGATCGAGTTTGGGTGTTTTAGGATTTTTTTTTTTTTTGGGCGATCCTGATGGATTGTTCGGCTATCGATTGATGAGAGTTTCATCGAATTGGGTTTATGCACATGGTTTTTTGTGTGTTGAGTATCATCGAATTGGGTTAATTTTTATTCTTTTTTTGCGTGTTGAATTCGTTGTAGAGTTTGATTTTATGCGTAGTTCGAAAATTAAAAATTAGGGTTTATTGTAATTTTTTGTTTTTGGACGTGGGTTTTGGGTCTTTATCAATTTTGGAAGGTAGGTTTGAGAAATTATTGCTGAATTGAAAATCTGTGCACTTGAGGAGATCTTTCAATTGTTATGAGAAAGGAGACATTTTTATATCAACTTTTGGTTCATTTTTGGATAAGATATCATTATTGAGAAGGATGAAGATTCACATGCAGTTTTTTTTTATTTTTATTTTTATTTTAATCTGTTGCATTTGTTTTGTTTTGTTTTTTTTTAAACTTTTCTTCTAATGGGGTTTACTTCCTGACTAATATGTGAAGTTGAAGGGTGTGGAGGGAGCAGTGGAGTGGGAAATGGCTGGGACTGCGAGTGAGGAATCTGGAGTTGGAAGGTCTTTCGAGGAGATTTCAAGTGTGCAGCAGCATTGCCAATCTGGGGAAGCATTGGTGGAATGGCGGTCCTCTGAGCAGTTGGAAAATGGAACCTCGTCAACTTCTCCCCCTTATTGGGACCCTGACGACGACGATGACTGTGGTATGTTGTTTGTCCGCATCAATCTTTTGCACTTCATGTTTCTTTGTTATTTGCTTGTCCTTATAATGTGTTAAAAAACAATAATGAGAGCGATCATAGTTGTGATATGTATTTTTTTACTTGTTTTTGGTAGGGGTGTAAACTGTTCGGTGTGGTTATCGTTAAGAGTATATTTAGTGCCGAACCGATCCTTTCGGTTTTTATGATTGAGAAATCGGTATAGATCGTATGCTACAGTTCAGTTTTATTGGTTTGATGTAGAAGAGAAATTTATATGAAATATTGAAAAGTTTTATAGTAGATTTTAGAATTTTACATTGAAAATTAATGAAAAAAATTTATGAAAATTGCTCTATAAATATTTTTCTCCTTAATTTTTATCACAAAAGTGCATTATATTAGTTACTTCTTATATAATATTCAAGAAATTATAATATAAAAATATTTAAATATAATATTCGGTTGGTTCGGTTTGTATCGGTATAAAAAGTTTCAAAACTGAAGCAAACCGTATGTTATGAAAAATAGACCAAAAACTAAATTTCGGTTGGTTTGATCAGTTTTTCTTACATCCCTAGTTATTCGTATTGGTATTGGGTTTGGGTTTGACCTGTTGAGTAATTTAGTAGGGAATCAAAGCTGAATATATTGTTCACTGAAATTCTTGTACATTTTGCTGTTTCTGTACTTGGTGTGATGTGAAGTTTTGAGGTAAGAATTGGCAAACTTGTGGAGAATCATGCGTGGTTGTGGGAGACCAGACCGTATAATAGCTGGAGGTTCCATTAAGATCCAGTTTACAGTCACAAAGTCAGTTTTGATCTGCAAGTAGCTAGTTCTTGTAAATTATGTTTGGTCATGCTAGATAGCCCTCGTCATCCATGTTATTGGAGTTTCTCATTCTGACATAATAGAGAAGTAACGATAAACAAACAAACGAAAATAAAAGTTATGAAACCTAATTTTGATAGAGGGAGAAATCAAAAAGTTTATTGCAAGTGTTGGCTGAGGTAGATAATGTTTCAAGGAAAAAAAGGGTTTATGCCAAGGTAGTGACTGATGCAACTGAATTGTCTTTCATTTTGTTCACATCCTTAAAGTGATCAAAGTGAATTTTTAACATTTTTTTGCTACATCCAAAATATGGTTTTCTTTAAAGCTACCTTTATTCCTAGAAGTTTGTCCATGTCTTCATGATCTGAAGCTTGGAAAACAGGCTAGTGCTGACGGAGACCAAACTAAGATGCCTTTTCTAGCAAGTTGCCTGCTAAAGATGGGTAATTGTAAACTGCTATCAGTTATTGTGGGAAAAATCATACATGAGTGAATTTTAGATGGAATTTTCTTGGTACTCAGACCTGCGTAACCACCGTGTGCATATTTGACCCCTTCACGCAGCTGCTTGTGTCAAAATTCTGGGTGGTGGCGAATTAAATGTTTGTTAATGGCCCTGTTTGGTAGAGCTGTGGGAAAGTGCTTATAGCTTATGCCTAAACAGCTTATAGCTCATAACTATGAACATAAGCTGATTTCTGACTTATATATTAAGCATCTCCTGCCCCACTCAAAGAATAAGTTGATTTCTGACTTCCAAAAAGCTATAAGGTATAAGCTATAAGCTAAACCAAACACATCAAAATAGCTTAAATTAAGCTGAAAGCTGAAATAAGCTGCTTTTAAGTTCTGCCAAACAGGCACAATATCTGATGTATGTTTTAAATATAGACAAGATTGAGATTAAATTAGATGAGTACTATCCTTGGTGCTTTTGTTTATATACAAGCTGTCATGCTTCAAGGGATGTTAGCTGTTAGTCAAATGTTTACCTAGTAAGCTATAGGTGAGGGGCTATGGTACATGAACTTTTTCTAAATGTATGAAGTATCCGTGTCGGACACTTACTTACACTTGGGTAAGATATGTGCACTATGGCTCTTTGTAACAAATGCTAAAAACCATATTTTTTCCAACTATTTTTATCTTTAGTGGTTTTTTTTTTTTTTAATTTATAATTTTTTTATCAAAAGTTACGCTTTTCTGGTCCTAGTTTAGATAAGTTCCTTGAAGACCAAAAAACCATTTTTTTGCCTTTTTTTTTTCTTCTTCAGTGGACATGTTGAAATTTATTTTTTATTTTCAGGGTGTTCTAGTCTTGTAGGAACTTAAAAGTGAACTTTTTTGGAGAAAAATACAGAAAGTTCAATAAAAAACAAAGAAAAATTAACAAAAATGTTGCTAAAAAAAGCAATTGCCAACACCCTAAGGGGTTGGCTTGGTGGCAAGGCCTTGGGTACTGGGGTGTACTCCCTCCAAGGTTCAAGTTTCGAAACTTCTTAGGTGACAATTCGTTGGGGCCATCGGATTAGGGGAAAACCCTTGAATTAACAGGGGTGCACTTGTGAAAAACTCTTTGTTGAGGGCCTGTGCATCCGTGGGGATTGGTCAGGCTTTGATCCGGACACCCCAGTGGCAATCAAAAAATTAAAAAAAATAAAATAAAGAAGCAATTGCTAAAGCAACCTAGCAAGCATCCTTAGTAATTTGAGTTTACCCTAAAACTATTCATGAAACTCCCATATTATACATGGATTAGTCTATGGCATCTTGTGAACACCATTTATCCTAAAAAGATAAAATTATGTTAAGAAATATGAATTTTTTCCAGTGTTCCTGTGTCCTTTGACATGAGAATAAAATGAATAAAAATTGAGACGATACTGTAACAAGCCCGCGGGGGGGACCTCGCTACAGCTCGGACTCGATTTGTAGTCACGGTTCTAAGTCTGAACCAAAGAGTCCAAATCCGGCAAATCGTTTTGAGAAAACAGATTTTTGAAAGAAGTGCCAAACATGGACTGCTTTGCCAGATACAGAGTCGCCACCTAAATATTTTATTTTGGGAAATTTAGGAAACCCTGACTCGGTGCCAAAAGGCCACGCGTCCGTCATCACCAAAGTTGCCTCGGCTCGGGAACTTGGATATGATTGGGGAAGGTCACTTCGTGAGCACCCCCGCTCGCCCGGTCATAGACCGGCCTCTACTAACCACGATATCAATTTTTGAAAACATTGTGAGTTCTTATTCCGGTTATTAGCCTAGGTTACTATGTGATGCGCACAGCATACAAGTATAGACTGGATCGCCTGAACTGGAACAAAAACATTTCATGTTCGCTTTTTGAAAATGGTTTGCTACCCGCAGGTAGGCTTGAAACATTTGATGATTTATTCCAATTCAGATAAATGGCAGGTGTACTTAACTAGTTGTTGGTTTTTTGAATATTAAATAGTTTATACATTTTTTTTAACTATTCATTTTTATTGGGAAAATGTACCTCCATTTTAAATGTACGGTTGCACATGTCTTTAATTATCCACTTTCTCAATAGTCCCTTCGATATAATAGATGAGAAGGAAATTAATTTATTGTACAATAGATGATACTAAAGGAAAATAATTTATTGTGCACTTTTGGCAGATACGTGACTCCACCGACTTGTCCCCAATGCTTGAGTGGTAGGATCAATGCAAAATAGGACTGTTCAGGCTTTAATGTTTTTTTAGTAGTGTCTGGCTTAATGAACTAATTAACTTCAAAATCAATTTCACCATTCACTAATAGGAGCTTAATTATAAACTGATTCCAAGAAATTACTTACATTTAGGTGATTTCAAATTTGAAACTATGGAGAAACCACACCTTGACTCAGACTTTGACCACCAGGCTAAACTTTTGGGTTATGTCCAAGTTTCAATGTTGAATGAAACAATGGTTCTTTGATTACATGCCAAGGCACAAAATGTTCTCTCACAATTACAAAAAAGCTACAAATCAAAGAATGATTCCTTGTTTCGATTCCAAGCCACCAAAAAAAAACCCCGTTCCATACAATCTTCAAAGTATTTAAATGTCTCTACACCAAGTTTTGGTGGGTAGTGGTGCCAATCTGTTTTGAATAGACAATGACTGCTCGAGTTGTCTTCTCAGGCCATGCCACAGGACAGATTACACCCTCCAAAGCAATGGTAGGGGCTCTTCGTTTCTTGCCTATGAAAACATGTCCGCTTAAGATTAATAACACGAAGAGTGTAGGGCAGCATATATACATGAAAGCAAGGATATGGAACAAACCCATCAGAGAACGTAGGTTGAAGGTAGTCATGTTATCAGCGAGCAGTGGTGATATTGGGCCTAATCTACTTTCTTCATCTGACTCAATTAAGCAATTCTATACCTCTATCAATGAGAAGAATTTGAACAAACTCCGCGAGTTCATCTCTGATAATTGTTATTTTGACGATTGCTCATTCATCAAACCATTCCAGGGGAAAAAGGTCTTTCTCAATTTCTCCTTTTAAGCATAAACGCAACTATGCTTACTTTCGTGGAAAACGTTTTTTGATTTTTTTTTTTTTTTTTTGCTTTTTTTGACACTTTGTATGACTGAAAATTAAAATTAAAGATTTTTTTTTTTATATATAGAAAATGTTTTCTGCCTAAACAAATGAAGCATTAGTGCTTGTCTACTGATTTGCCAATTACTAGAATAATTTTTGTAAAGCAACATTTTCTTTGCGCCAAGACAAAAGCAACTTTATTGTGTTATTTGCTTCTATGTGCAACTGTAGGAGGTTATGGAGTTCTTTGGGCAACTAATCACGAGCATGGGTCAAAATGTCAAGTTCAAGATAGGACACATGTGCGAGGGAGATGATTTTACAACTGGAGTAACTTGGCATCTTGGTAATTCGATCTCATCTCTCGTTGTCTCAAATGAATTTAACAATGTTGTTTCTCATCAGCACGATAACCATCTTTTTAAGTGATACATAAAACTTGACAATAAATGTGTTCTATTACCATGACAGAATGGAACAAAAAACAGATCCCCTTCACCAGAGGCTGCAGTTTTTATGAATGTTCAATGGAAAACGGAACCAAACTAGTCATCAAGTATTAAATAAAAATCAATTTCAATATTCACCTCAATTTTCTATTA